CCAACTCACAAGGCTCGGGGAATGGGAATTCCACCCTCTGACACCACAGTAATCCTGAGCAAAGGAAAAGCAATGTGTTTACTGAGAACCTATTATGTGCAAAGCACCCACAGGAGACCTCAACAGAGGGGCTCCCCACAGATACTGAGACTTTCTGCATGCAGATCAGTGGGACACCCCACTGAGGTCTGGCCTGGACCACCTTTCCCCGGTATCCCAGGATTTTGTACAAACGAGATGAAAAACATCTTCCCCACACAGAAAGAAAAAGGGAATTCATCCCTTGACTGACTTACTCCAACAACAAAAAGGAAACAGAGGATGTCTGACACAGACTAGCCGCTTCCTGCAGAGGGGAAGGAGGAAGCCACAGACAGAAGGCAGCTAGCTCCGTGCCCCTCCAGGAGCCCCTGGCCTGGCAGGATTCAAGAAGAGCCTTCAATAAGGAGCCAGGTCCCCACCCGGGACCAGTTCCCATGATCGGTGGGGGCCACGTGCCCATCTCCCAGATCATTTCAGTTAACAGTGTGGATAAGAAGGAAACGAGCCAGAAAGCACACAGACCCTCACTCTGACAGCTCCATAAACAAGAAGCAATAGGTCCAGAGAAGGCTGGAACGGGTGGCAGCCTTGAGGGTCCAGGGGGCAGGTTCTTCCCAGGTGGACAGGACAGGGCGAAGGGAGCTTTCAACTTGGTGGGTCCCAGAGAGGAGCAAGTGAGACACCCTACTCCACGGCTGAAGAGGGTGAGAGCAGAGCGCGCTCTGGAGAAGAGCAACAAGGCAAAAACGTCAGGAGGAGACTGAGGTGTGAGGGGGTTCCCGGATGCCAGTACTCTGACCAAAATAAATGGTACTCAAAGGGATCTTTTCTTAGCTCGACTCAGACGCCACACAAATAGGGGCTGCCCTAGTGCGAAGAAATAGGTTCCCCTTCAATTTGAGTGTCCCACCTTCTCCCCACCAAGACTGACTCGACTCCTGGGCAGGGTTTTGGCAACTTCACCACTTGCTGATCCCCTCTCGCTCCTCACACCTTCACAGTGGCCACAGAGCTTCAAGATGTTATGTCTGAAGGTCTTCCAGCCCAAGCCCCTTTTTATGTGGGTGGGAGGGTCCAGAGAGGGGAAGTAATAAATGAAGATGTTCCATCTTCCTTTTCAGCCATGGCCATGGCCAACCCCATGGCCATACCCATCCTCAGGTGAAAGATTCACAGGTTTTATCACCTTACCTTACCTGTGAACCTTATCTCCAGGATTGCTAGTTATTCATTGTGTTTATTACCAGGCGCAATGAATCATTAGTTGTGCAAATAGCTGGTGGTTCAGAAGAGGACCCTGGGCAGGCAGAGACGATTCAGCTGATATGGTTATACAACCCGAAATGCAGGACTTTGGACTTTGCTGTCACCAGGTTTGTAGCCTTAACCTCCTGAGATAATAACGCAGAAAGAAGCAATGGTAATTAAAGACACAGAGTGCTATTAGTTAGTAAACGAGCACTCTTCATTTCTTGAGTTTTGCTAAGAGAGCTGGGCCGGGAGGAAAAGTGGCAAGAGCAGCTCCTCTGGTAACACTGGACTGGATGGATCTGGAAACCTCAGCTCCCCGGACTGGGCCTTAGTTCCTTCATCTGGACCTTGAAAGGTTTGCAGGAGAAGCCAAAGGGCTCTCCCAGTTAGAACAGAAAGTCAGAGGAAGGGCTGCTTGGTGATGGGAAAGTGGGGGCGTGACACATTCCTCAAATCAATAGGCCTCCAGTGCTCTTCTAAAACCTCAGTGATCACCAGCAAGGGGTGAAAAGATAGCCTGAGCCAGCTTCTCAGAGCGTCAGTGCCTCAAACCCTATGCACTACAATTGCTCTGGAGCGCCTGTTTCTACGCTGGCTTTGTGATTTGTGGCTGACACTGGAGAGTGTCAGCCTCTGTGGGAACAAGATGGGAACTGATGAGCTGGCCAGCCATCATCGACTCCCTGGCCTTGCTGAATCACCCTTGACATCCTGCCTAGAAGCAGAGGCTTGGAGGAGGCGGGTGACCTCTTGAAATCTCAGGCCAGGCCCATGATTCTGTAATCTCTGCTTTGCCACAATTAGGGAGGGAAACCAAGAAGGGGAGGAGAAACCATCGACTGTGTTCTCTGGGATTCACTCGACAGCTTGGAAAAAGAACACAGAGGGAGACAGAGAAACGGCCAGGAAAGGAGCCAGCCACAGTGAGTTTAACCTCTCAGTAAAATAAAGACTAGCTGGACGTACCTCATCAGCTGCCCTCTGTCAATACTCAGGTCCATCTGGCAGAACCTGAGGTTCCCAACTAACAGGCATTTCCCATTGAGCCAGCAAAGAAGGGCTTTTGAAAAAAATATGTGGTGGTGTTGTAAGAGGGGTGTGTGTGCGTGCGAGTGTGTGTATGTGTGCATGTGTGTGTGAGCTGGCTGAGGGCTGCCACACTTCCCAAAGTGCTAGCTCTGGAGATCTTCTATTATATAAAAGTACAGACATTCCCCACCCCCACCCCTGAGCTTCAAGATGAAGAATCCAGCCTGTTTGTTCCAGGCAGATGTAATCACACGAACAGTCAAGTCTAGAGGGCAGGACACTGCATGAATAATTCAAGCACTCCAGTCACTTGATTGTGTGTGCAGATAAAACACCAGTCAACCGCTAAACAGGTCAGCTGATAAACTTGTTTGCTCAGGCCTAACCACCATCCGCCAAATGCACCCAAGACCCACACTACAATTAGTGGCCGGTTTTCTTCTGCAGAACCCTAGCAAGCCTAGGGAGTGGCCAGCCCCAGGAGGTCAGGACTGCATTTCTCAGTGCTGGGTTTCTTCACCTCCTTGCCTCTTTGTTCCTACACAGCCACAGGGTGATTTCACCCAACTCAGAGGTTGCCGTAAACCCAGCAAAGGCACTGTGCTCAGGGCACAGACAGTCCTGCTGGGAAGCAAGTGGGAGCTGAGGCTCCAAGGCAAAGGTGAGTGGCAAACAGGGTAAAGTGCTCAGTCTGGAAGCCAGAGGCCCTAATTCAAGTCCCACCTCTGCACTCCTGGCTTCCCTAAAGCCTCAGTTTCCTAACCTATAAAAAGGGGGCAAAGAACACATCTATCTCCCTCTGGCAGCTGAGAGGATTAAATGAAATCATGTCACCAAACCTCAGGCATTCTCCCCCTAAGAACCCTGGGTCTGGGGACGGGCCAGAAGCCCGAGATGCACACAGCTGCTCCTTATGTAAACCCCACCAATGAATGTGCTAGGAAGGTGAATAACTCTTCCTGGGTTCAGAGTGGCCCAGGACTCCAGGAGCAGCTCCGCTCCAACAGCCAAGATGGATTCTTTGTGCCAAAGAACCATCCACTTACAGACACAGGGAACACCACCCATGCAGACCTCAACATGCAATGACACATTACACCTTAATTACGAAGCTCTTAGAAGAACGGCTGCTATAAATTTTAAACCTGGGTGCAATTACCCTCTTTAAACACACCCAAGATAGCAAGCACTGAGGACAAAAAAAGAGGGGTGGAGAATGGGAGGAGGTGGCATCTTGCATAACAACCCAAGGTCCTTGAACACCCGGGACCCCCGTTCCACTTCACACATTCTTAATGAACCAGTCGGATCCAGCCAGTTCCGCTTAAAATAAGGCAGTCTCTAGCCCATACTCCAAAGGACAAACATCTTTACTTACAAACTTGTGTCTGTTTATGATTCTTGTGGAACTTAAAGCCTGGTACCCTTTTCCCGTGTCTCCCTAAAAAGCTAATCCCTGACTGCCTCCCCAGATTCCTCAACAAACTGAGGCCCCTCTCTAGCTGCCCTTCACCCAACACTGGGGTTCCCTCCAGGAGGGGGAAGGAAGCTAGATTCCAAAGGCTCTCTGTGAAGCCACTGGAGCGAGCAGGCAGGAATCTACAAGCATTCCAGAGGTCACCTGCCCTTCTCACCTGCCCTGGGTCCTGCCCCCTTAAAGAGCAAAATTTAAACCTTGTAAACCACTGTTCATTTAGAGCAGAAAATCCATTCAAGTCACGGTCACCAAAGGCTAGAATGAGTCAACAGCCTTCTGAGATTTCAAGAACACCAATTGTTAAAAAGAACAACCGGCCCGCGCCATTTCTCCCTGCCAAGTCAACGCTAATCGCTGGCCAAGCCAAACTATAGGCGGCCTCTCCTCGGAACACAAATATACAAACAGGCCGCTCCCACAGCCCAGCCCAGCGCCCAGGACGAGTTACTGATATGCACAGAGATAAAGGTGTTTGTATTTGCCCGGTTTGAGGTATACTGTTATTAGAAGAGTGACAATACAGGGTAGTTTACATATCCATCACACACCAGCTAAACTGGTTTGACTTCAGGATTTCAAAGCTGAGCTCAACCCCCAGCCATCTCAGAAGTCCTGGCTAGGCTGCTCCTGGCTTGTTACTTCACCTCTCAGCTTCATCCTAGAAAATGGGAATGACCAAGGCAGCCTTTACAATAAGATGGAGATGAGAAAGTTGCCTCATATACGCAAGGTACCGGGCTGTAATTCATCCTTCATTTATATTTTTCAGTGGTAGGTAGCCTGTTTCCTTAAATTTTGACAGCTCAGCCTGGCTTTTAAGACTCTTGAAGTTTAATCTTATCAAGGCAGAACATCACATTTTTTGCGCATGCGCACATACGCGCGCACACACACACACACACACACACACACACATACATATACACACACACACACACACCCTCCTGCCTTTCCTTTTGTAAATTTTACATTAAAACAGATTAAAGCAGCCAGCTACATCTGGGTTACAGGAGTTTGTAAAGCGGATCCTGAAGGGACAACTTTCCTTTTGCTCCTTACCCCTCCACCAAGATCCAAGACCATAACAAACTTCACAAGCTCGGATGCTAAAAGCCCAACATGTCTGAGAACTCATCCAAGCCTCAGACCCTGTCTGTCAAGAGCTGGATCTGTAATTAGATATATATCCTAAAGCACTTACCTGCTTGTGCATCTCAATGTTCAAACCGTAGGACATCTCGTAGTACTAAAAGCAAAAAGAACTGCCGTTAACGCACAACACCAAAATCTGTGTTCCAGAAATCGTCTTTGGAGAAGGTTTTGGCCAAATGGTACTTTTAGGACACATTTGCTAAAGAAGTTTAAGTCAAACCCCAAAGCCAGCTACAAAGGGGCTGAAGAATCATAAGAAGGACTCAGGAGTGTTGTTCTCATCTCAACAGAATACCCTAATGTGCAATAAATAGTGTAAGAAGAGTTGGGCCCTCCCTCCCACCAGCCCGGCCTGTGCCATATATCCTGTTTATACAGCGTTCGGGTTCAACAGGGAATCATGTGTACACTGGGAGCACCTGCCCTATCAGAGTTATTTAGCAATGTGTCCAAGGTCTCTTATGTGGAGAGCAATGCACGGGGTCCCACAGAAGGGCCTCCAGTGCCGTCCTCGCCATCAGAAGATTAAAACTTGCTAGAAGAGACACTGGGAAAAGGGAGGACACGTCTACACACTGCCCCAGGGTCCATGAGATTCTCAGTGGGGTGATCCCTAAGTGAGCATGGAGGCAAAAGGCTCCTCCACTCTCAGGAACCCCTGGGGAGAAAAGAGAGAGGGGGAGAGGTCCTATGTCCCACTCTGGCTAAATCCCAGAGCTGCAGAGCCGAGACGTTTCTACACACTCCCAGGAGGTCTCTAAGAACGATTCTTATCCAACCCCGATGTGGGCTGATCCAACCCTATCTTACTAGTGAAGACAGGGCAACCAGCCCTCGGGGAAACCTTCAGAACACAAATCAAAGGCGCACAAAGGTAGTGTGCGAGGAGGGGGGCTGGGTTTCTCTTCCTGCCCCTCCTCTCACCCACCCTCCTCCAAGTGGCCCCGGCTGACGGAGGCTGGTGAAAAAGGGTCGGATGGCACACTCGGACCACACCCGCTGCGGGGGCTGCCCCGCGGAGGCTGGGCAGGGCTCCCCAGGCCCCCGCCACCCTGGCCGGGTCCCAGCCGCCTCTCACCATCACATAATGGCGCTGCATCTCCGTCTTCTCGTTCGCCAGCTTGTCGTACTCCACTTTGAGGCTGCGAGGGCAGGAGGAGCCGGCTCAGGCCTGCTGCCTGCACAGCCTCCTCTGGGACCCCAACCCCGGGGCGTCTCGGAGCCACTTGGCCACTTTCCTGACACCCACCCCCGGGGTACTCCCCTCACCCCGCAGCCTCGGGCGGAGGGGACGTGGGTCCCCGACACAGGCAGAGGGACTGTAACAACTTGAAACTTTCCGCGGCCGAGCGAGTGAACTTATCCGGGGCGCCGGGTGGGGTGGGGTGGGCTGGGGGCCGGGACCCTGACGCTGGCTCGCGGCCCCTCGCGACCCCCAGAACCCGGAGCGGGCCGGCTCGCGCCCGGATCCCTCAACTTCCCTCACCCCGGGAGCCGCACGGAGAGCCGGGAGACTGCCGGCAGCAAAGGGTTAAGGCGCCGCGCTCGGAAAGGGGAAACAAAAGGAGGAGGCCCGGGCTGCCCCGCCGCCCCGGGGTCGAGAGCCCGCTCAGTCCCCGAGGGGTGGTGGCAGGAGCCGCCGCGGGGACACCCCCGCCCTGCCAGCCCCGGGGCGGCCCCCAGAGGCCTTACCTGTGATATTGAGCTTGAAGGAACTGGAATTCGTCTTTGATCCTGTCACAAGACTCAGCCACCGTGAATTTAAATCCTGGCTGCCCTGGTTGATGGGGAGCCTGAAGCCGGCCAGGACAAGACAGGGGAGGGGCGGGGGCGTCAGACCCGGCTCCAAGCTGCCCAGGCCCCTCAGCGGCTTTCCCCGGCCTCCCCCCGCCCCCACCTCAGCCAAAGGGGCCTCCCACAAAGCCCAGAACCTTCCCAACAAGTTTCTCCGGTCCCCGACGGGGAGGGGGGCGCCCTAATCTCTCCCTCTCGGCCGCGGGGCTCCTATCCCTTTTACGAAGGGGCTCCTATTCCCAAGTAAGACGGGGACAGAGGAGACAACGAGAGTTGGGAGACTTAGGCGAGGGGGCGGGGGACAGCATGAAAACAAACAGTTCCCCAGGAACACTGGGAGCCCCTCACGCCATTAGGGCGGAATTAACCTCCTCTCTCTACGGCGCCCCCCCATCCCCATCCTTTGTGTGAGCGCGCGCGCGCGCGCGCACACACACACACACACACACACACACACACACGCACACATACCATAAAGGTAGCAACAAGCAAAATGGAGGTGCCAGATAAACTGCCTCGTTTACCCTGCCATGATAGATGCTTAAATAAACCGAGTTGCAATTACTCACCGGATGTCTGCCTTGCGGATACATGGCAGGGAGGGGTCGTGATTCCGAGAGAGTGGAAGCGCAGAGAGCCCGGGCCGGGGAGGTGCGGGGGAGGGGGGAGCCGAACCCGAGCGGGGGGCGGCCGGGAAACCGAGAGCTCGCCCCCGGCCCCCCCAGCCCGATCTCGCACCGAAATCCCAGAGTCCGGCGCCCGCACCAAGCGGAGACAAAGAGCCGAGGAGCAGGCGGCAAAGTCGTCGGCGGGCGCGGGCTTTGTGCACCTAGGGCTCCGCGAGCTGCAGCCGGCCGCCTTCCCCCCGCTGCGTGGAGCGCGTCAGAGCTGGGGGCTGCGCGGACATCGTCGTCTCCCCGGCGGGTCCGGCGCGGGGTCCCGAGGTCTGGGGGCCCCTCTTGGGGCAAGCGCGGGCGCCCTCCGGTTCACTTAGCGCGTCGCGCCGGGAGGGGGGCGCGCCAGGGCAGCCTCGGCATCCAGGGCGCACGGGTCCGATCCCAGGGGCGGCTCTCGGCGAGAAGAGGAAGGAGGCAGGCACCGTGGTGGCGGCTTGGGGCCGCAGGAGCGCCGGAGGGTGAGGGCGGGAGCCCGGCGCGGGCGCTTCGACGCCCCCCCTCGGAGAGGAAAGCCTGCTGTTCCGTCTGCTACTGCCGCCGCCGCCGCCGCCGCTGCAAGCCCTTCCCAGGGCCGAGGAGGAAACTCCGGGTTCAGTAGGTGGGAATCAACCGCCCTGGCATCGTAACTCCAGTAGGCACTAGAAGCCGACGCAAGGGTGTCCTCGCTGCTCCCAGTCCGAGCGCCGAGTCCCCAGCGAGGAGCGCTCGGTGCCGCCACCGCCGCCTCGGAGCGCGCAGGCAGAAGAGCGCTGGAGGGGAGACGCAGCTCGAGACCCGGGAGCTCTGCGGCTTCCTTCTTTCGCCTCGGCCCGGCTCTCCTCTCCGCGCCCCGACACTCCCCCCCCCACCCCAACACACACCCAGCGCGCGCGCACACACACACACACACACACACACACACACACACACACACACCAAAAAAGTGCCCCGGACCTGCGGATACCACACACAGACAGGCGAGGGGGACGAGCACGAGGTCTGAACTGCCGCGAGAGCAGTTCCAAATAGGGACTGAAAAGTAACAAAATAATGTGGCAGCTTCGCCCGGCGCTGGCCAATGGGAGCGCGGGGCCCCCACGTGGGGCAGCTGGACTCGGCTTGCGACTGGGCGCCGCCGGGCGCGACGTCACAATGCCCTCTTGTGTCTAAAACTATGCATGAAAAGTAGCAATCAGGCCCTACCCGCTGGTGACTTTCGCATGGGAGTGAAAAACAGCGCTCCTCAGATCAGGAATTAACCGAAAGACATATAATAAATAGATATATATTATAGTCCAGGGCTTCTGGGTTTTTCCCCCCTCCTCTTTTTTTTTTTTTTCCCACGATATACTAGCAAATAATCATTTGGCGGGAGGGGGAAAGAGGGAAAACAGGAATAACAACAAAAGAAAGAGACAAGCTGTACAGTCCTCAAAACCTGTGGCTGGTAGCAATGTATCAGTTTATTCTGCAGTGGCGGTGAACGATTCCTCCCTCTAATCTCATTAGGTCTGCAAAGCAGCCCAATTAGATACTATAAAACAAACAGAATCACTTTGTCACTTTAATGTTTTCACTTCACAAGATTTAGGACCGATAAAATGGTGGCTCCCAAAGTTGCCTCCCACCTTAATTCTGGTCGGAACTGAGAGTGTCCCTTTCTTTGCCCCTTCTCCTGCCCACGCCCCCGCCCCCCGCGGTCCCCAGCTTTTCTTCTTTGTTCATTTGTCCTTTACGGAAAGCCAAATAAACAGCGTCTTTGATGTGCGGCGGCTGCCCGCGAGGACAAGTCGGAGGAACTCTTGCTTGGCGGGCTACGCAGATAGAAGGGCCCGTCTGCTCGCGGACACCCCGCACAGTCCGCACTGTCCCCACTCGGGGGCTCCTTCCCGGTGGAGACCGCTACGCCTTCGCCGCAGCTGCCCAGTGAGCGCCGGGGCCAGGGAAGCGGAGTCGGGAATGCGGTGGCGGCCTTACCCCACCATCCCGGGAGCTTCGAGTTCCGACCCGGTTTTCTCAGCCTGCCCCCGGCAGTGTCACGGCGTCGGCGGAAGCCTGCAGAGGGGCGCGTGTGCGAGCCTGTGGGCGTCTCGGCCGCCAGCCTCGACGCCCCGGGAGGCGCAGACGCTCACCCGCCCCCGTTCGCTGCTCTCCCACCCCCACCTCCACGCCTCCGGGACTCCCCGCGCGCTCGCACAGGCCACTCGACTCCGGGGGCCAGTTTGCCCGCAAACCCATAGCCTGCGTCTACTGCGCGAGGGGTTACGTCAGGGCAGACGGGCCGGGGGGACGCGGCCCTCGAGCGTCGGGAGGCTGGGGGGGGGGCCACGCCCTGGGCCGCAGGAGCACCGCCGGGTGGGGAGCCCAGGTGGACCCTCCTCTCCAACATCTCCGCGAACCCGCACGCACCCGGGGGCCGGCGGCGGGCCCGGGATCTATATTTTCCCCTCATTAGGAGCTGGAGTTCGCTTTTGCATTTTAATGAGGAGCTGAGAGCGAGCGGGCGCTCGGAGGCCGGTGCGCTGGGAGTTACACGTGAGCGCCCGCCTCGGAGTTGAGCCTCCCCGCGTCCCCTCCGGCCGCCAGTCCAGAACCGCGCTCCTCTCTTCATTTATTTATTTTCCTAAATAAAAACATAAATCGTGTGCGCCACGCACTGAAGAGGGGGGTGGGGAGAAGCCCCGCTCGACAGATGCGAGCATCTGGCCGCAGCATTCATTAGACACAAAATGGCTCCTCTTTGGAGCTTCCTTCCCCCCTCCTCCTTCTCTGCCCTCCCCCTTACGTCACGGGTGGGCGCACCCGCTTCCCACCCGCCCCGCCCCTTTCTCGCCCCTGCCCCCACGTGGGGGCCGGAGACCCCGCCCCCTAGCGAGGCTCAGAAGACCAATCAGAGACGGTTGATGGGAGTCTCAGTTACTGATTGGTTAAATTGCCGAGCCCTGTCAGTCGGCGACCAAGGCTGTCAGTCAAAACCACGCGGGGTGGGGGAGCGCTGACAAATGCCGAGGCTTCTGAGCCTCCCGCTTGCAAATAGTGCTTGGAATGGCTGCTTAATTAGCTTTGAATGGCTTTTCCTTCCAGCTCAAACAATCTGTCACTACCATGTGGTATAAAGGAGCCATGCATAAAAAAGTAAGCAGAGGCTAAATATCAATTTGATTTTGTGTATCAAAGGAATATTTTATTTTTCTCCCTAGTAATGAAACGTATCAATTTAAATAATAAAAGGTAAAAACACACACACAAACCAAAAAAAGAAAAAAAAGAAGAGGGGGGGAAAAAAGAAAGAAAAATGGGAAAAAACCAAACTCCACGGTTCTCCGACTCCTGTGCAAGCCTTAAACAGGCAATTTCTACGGCCCACGTTCAGGAGGAAGCCTAAAGAGTACCCCCCTCCCCACCTCTTTCAAACTTGCATTAAGTGTTCTGTTGCCGTCCAGAAGTCTAGGAGGGGTGACGGGGGAGGGGTGGCCTGTAAAAGGGGAGGTGGGGGCGAGGAAGGGGGCAAACTTTAAAGGGAGCTCTTTGAAGCCGCTAATCAAAGTGGAGGGGGTTTTTAAAACCCCATAAACTTGGGGTCCCGCAGCAGGTCTCGATTTGGGAGCTGAGAGGGAGTGGGGGGTGGGGGGAGAGAGTGGGTGTGCGTCCCGCCCGGATTTATTAAACACAATGCCTTCAAGATGCCCGGGATGCGGCGCCTGGTCTGGCCTTCCCTCTCTCCGTTCTCACTTAAGACTGGCCTCGATGGCGTCCTCCCGCAGTTGGCCGACAAACCTGGCCCCCAAGTCGGGTCCACGCGGATCGGGGCCAGAAGAGAGGTCTGGAGTTTGCTGTCGCTTCTGCCTGGGCGACCACTCTCCTAGTCGTTGAGCCAGTGCCCTCCTGCCGGGTAGACTCAGGTCGAGTTCACCTGTGAGCCTCTGTGCCAGCCCTGGAACCTTGGAGCCCTTGTGTGATCGACCTGGTTTTGCAGAGAGCCGCCTCCTCGGCAGGATTCCACTGTAGGACCCCCACCACCGAGTTTGAAATGATAGTGGCGCCAAAGCCCTTTCTATGTACAAAGCAGGACACTGCTACCCAGGCAATCCCGAAGGAAGCGGCCTGACTAGTAGCCCTGTTTTATAGAGTAAAAGAGAAGACCTAGAAAGTCCAGTAATTTGCCCCAAGGTGGGCATAGGTGTCAGGATTCGAGTCCAGGGCAACCGGTTCAACAGCCAACTTCAAAGTCCTCTTTGATAGCAAGAGCTGGACCCCGTGGGATATGTGCTAAAGGTAAGGCATTCACTCATTCATATTCATTCATTCATTCACACTGAGGGTCTGGCAATGAGGTCACAGGCCCAGCTCCCCAGCGCAGGGCTTCCACTGGCTCCTCACAAGTCTGCTGGGTTTCTGGCCTCCAGCATGTAGAGGAGCAGGGAGGTAAAAGCAACTAGCCCAGCTCCCCTTTCAGCTCGCCACCTCTTTACCCCCCACCTTGCCACCCCACAAATTAGGAAAAACACGGAGAAAAATAATTTCTTATGCTGGAGGTAGAAAAGAAAAAACATGTATACGACACCCCGCCCAAAGCGCTTGACAATTATTTTTCAAGAAGGAGGGGAGTGGAGAGAGAGAGTTCAAACGTCTCTGTCTCCAGTTCTAATTGGAAACGTTTCAACTGTTTATGTTACAAGAAGTGTCAGGGTCATTTGCTACCGGAGAGCTGACTTTTCATTGGCTGCTTAATTGAGTACCTCGGAGTCCACCCCACGTGGGAGAGGAATTCCTGGCACACACATACACACACACACACACACACACACACACACACACACACACACACACAAGTCACCCAGTGAGACAGAAAGCCCGGCCTGGATTTGCAGAGCGGAGGTTCCCCAGCCCTTCGCTGGGGGGTGAGAGGTGGTTGGTGGGCAGTTGTTCACCAGCTC